AAAAATAAGCCAGGAAGCTTCTTGAGCCTGAGCTCTGAGAATGAAAGTTAGTACTCTGTCTTTGACAAGGGCCCAGGAGCCCTACAGAAAAGCCGGACCGTAGGACCACAGGCTGGAGGTCACTCATTACGATAGCAGAATAGTTAAGAAATGGCTTTGACTTCTGCTTCTGCTTTACTGGCTGTGGTTCCTGGACAAGTTCTTTAAATTCCAAGTTCTCAGAAAGTCTGATTTTGACAATTGACCTTACAGGAGGTCCCTGTGACTTGGATCCTCATTCAGAGATGGAGATATCAGGTTCATCTTCTACCATTTCTGAGCAGCAGCAGCGGGAGAGGCAAGAGGGTCTGAGTGATACCAGAAAAGACCTGGCCAAGCAGAGTCTCATCTCATCCGAGGAATGGCTTCAACTGCATGGGCTTAAGAGCAACAAATTGACCTTGAAACAGGTTTTGTCGCAGATTGGATTCCCACATTGTGAAGGTATAAAACTCACAGAGGGATGCTGGCTGGAAAACCCAACCAGCAGGTTGCCCTTTAGCTTTTCAGTTCTGAAGACCCCTCAGAAGCACAAGCCTCTGAATTTGTTTTTATCTCACATCCTTAGCAGTAAAAAAGATTTGCGCATGGACCCCTAATATGTGTATGTTATACAGATGTACAGTCATCCACTCACATATTAAATATTAGTAATTTCATACTTTCTTCTTTTAAGGATGAAATTAAAATTACATAGAAGTTATACTCGCAGATTCTTGCTCACCCCCTGAGATGTGCAAACCCCTTTTGGAGGCTGTTGATTAGAACAATAGCTGTGTGCAGTTTCAGGGAGAAGATAATTGTTTTTCTTTTGTGGCCTGCCTATGTTAATGGTACAGTGTTTCTAAGTGTCTTGGTTACAATATTGGTTTTCAACTCCCAGTAGCTTGCCCTCCAACAGGGAGTATGGAACTGTGTGAGGGTATGGGTTTTTGTTTTCTTTTCTTTTTTTCAATAACATGTTGTCTTGGGTTGCTACCCAAATATAGGGCATGGGGACCAGCGATACAGTGTGTCATTGCCCGCCCAGCGAGGCTGTCCTGTCCCACATTTCAGTAATACCCTACCCCAAGAGCACTCCTTCAATCAGGGCAATTTTCATTACTGGGATTTTACTCGGTAATTCTGAACTTGTCCATCAATTAAACATTTGCTGAGCAGCCATTAATACTGTGTTTTTCAAGTTTTTCAGCAGTTCCCTTGGCAGCTTTGTTCTATACTGTTAGTAAGGAAGGTCTGGGGGATGTGGGTGTTGCAGACTCATCTGGAGGCCCACCACAATGGCAAGGCTTTGCTCTTCAGGTCTTAGGTTTTGCTTTCTTATTTATCCTTCCACAAGGGCTGGAACAGCCGGCCCTGTATCATCGAAAGACCTTTTGAACGGGGTCTGTCAGATCCAGGGTGTATGGGATTCCTACACAAAGAAACAAACTGAAAGCACTTCTATCTTATATTTCAAGTGATCATACTTCAGTCATTACTGTTAGCAAAAATAACAGTTCTTTGGGGAGGGTATAGCTCAGTGGTAGAATGCATGCCTAGCATGCACGAGGTCCTGGGTTCAATCTCCAGTGCCTCCATTTAAATAAATAAATAAACCCAATTACCTCCCCACTCAAAGAAAAAAAAAACCCAATTCTTTATACTTTGTCAAGGATTTTTCCACTTGAGATCATGAAGGATTTGACTCTGTAATTTTCTTTTCTTTTAATGTCCTTGTTAGGTTTTGGTATCAGGATTATGCTGGCCTCATAAAATGATTTAGGACTCCCTTCTCCTCTATGTTCTGGTGGTGTTTGTATATGTTTGGTGCCATTTCATCTTTAGATGTTTGATAGAACCCACCAGTGAAACTTATCTAAGCCTGGAGTTTGTAGGAAAAGTTTGCTAAGAAGTTCAACTTCTGTAATAGACATAGAACTATTCAGATTTTCTGTTTCATCATGCCAGTTTTGGAAAGTTGTGTTTTTCAAGGAATTTCTCCATTTCATGAGTGTTTTCTAATATATTGGGAAAACATTGTTCATAACATTCCCTTGACATGTTTTTTCCATGCCTGTAGAGTCTGTAGTGATGTTCCTTCTTTCATTCCTAATATTGATGATTTGTGTTTTCTCTCACTTTTTTTGGTAAATCTTATTAGGGGTATATCATACCTCTTTTCAAAGCATCTAATTTGGGGTTTGTTGATTTTTTCATATTCTTTGTTTTCTATTTTGTTGATATCTGCTTTGATCTTTATTATTTATTTCCTTCTCCTTACTTTGAGTTTAACTTGTATTTCTTTTTCTAGCTTTTAAAGTGGAAACTTAGATAATTGATTTTAAGTGTTTTTTCTCTTCTCATATAACCATTTAAAATTATAAGTATACCTCCAAACATTGCTTAGACTGAATTGCATACATCTTGATAGTTAATATTTTCATTGAGCTCTGAGTATTTTTTTCTCTTATAACTTTTTCTTTGATTCATGTTTTTTAAGAAATATATTGTTTGGTTTTCAGGTATTTTAGGACTTTTAAAGATACCTTGTTTTTATTGGATTTCTACTTAATCTATTGAGGTCAGAGATTATCGCCTGTAAGATTTTAGTATTTTGAAATTGAGACTTGTCTTATGGCCTAACGTGTATCTTGGTGTACATTTCATACATGCTTGAAAAGAATGTGTATTCTACATTTATTAGGTGACATTTATAAATGTTAATTAGGTCAAGATGCTTGATAGCGTTGTAGAGATGTTCTATGTCTTTAGTGGCTTTTTTTTCTTAGTGGATTTGTCCATTTTTCCCTTTAGTTCTGTCAGTTTTGTTCTTTGAGTTTGAAGCTCTAAATGCATACACGTTTAAGGTTGTCGTATCTTTCTGATGCACTGGCAAATTTAATAATTAAAAAAAATTGAACTATTGTTGGTTTACAATGTGTTAATTTCTAGTGTAGAGCATTGTGATTCAGTTATATGTGTATATATATGTTCTTTTTCATATTCTTTTTCATTATGGGCCATTACAAGAAATTTTTAATAATTCTGAAATGTCCATCTTTATCTCAGATAGTAGTCCTTGTTTTGTCATTGACTTTATCTAATATTTCTATAAGTGCTACAGCTTCCTTACGCTTCATTTTTACGTGGCATGTATGTTTACACTCTTTCACTTTCTAACTGTCTGTACTCTCTGTCTTCAAAGAGTGCCCCTTGAACCCAGTCTCACAGTGTCTGTCTTTTAATTGTAGCCTGGTTCTCTGCACTTAATGTACTGATTGACATAGTTAGTTTTAGGTGTACCATTTTATTCTTTTTTCTCCATTTATCCCATCATTTCCCTTCCTCTCTGTTTCTCCTTTCCTGCTCCCCTTTTGGGTAGATTGAATATTTTTGTATATCATTTAATTCCATTTTTATTTTCCATTTAAATTTCAATAGGATTTTTAGGTATACCTTTTTGCATTATATTTTCAGTGGTTGCTCTAGTGATTCTATCAAAGTGACCTTTGTACTACGTTCTGTAAAATGCAGGAATCTTACAGCAGTGTAGTGCTACTTATCCCCTGCTCCTGTCCTGGGTGTTATTGTTTTAACATATTTTATTTTTACATATGTCACAAATTTCATAATCCAGCGTTATAATTATTGCTTTAAAAAGTCATTTTCTTTTAAAGAAATTGAGTAGGATAAGTAGCATTTTAAAATCCACATATTTACTATTTATAATATTCTTTCTTCCTGTAAGATTTGAAGTTCCATCTGGTGTTTTTCCTAAAGAATTTATTTTAAGCATTTCTTGTCATGCGGGTCTGCTGCTGACAGATTTTTCTCAGTTTTTGTTTATCTTATATTGTCTTTATTTCACTTTCTCTTCTGTTGGATGATTGATTGATTGACTTATATATTTTATTCTGAAGTGATATATTTACAGGAAGCAGCCAAGATAGTATAGACAGATCTCAGGTACGCTTCACCTAATTTCCCCCAGTGGTTACATCTTATAAAATCATAGTATAATATCAAATCCAGGAATTCGATATTGATACAGTGTGTGTGTGTGTGACTAATTCCATGTAATTTTATTTCTTATGTAGATTTGTGTAACCACCACCACAATTAAGACACAGAACTATTTATCACCACAAAGATCTTCCTTGAGATATCCCTTTATAGTCACACAAACACCGTATCTCCTAGCATCCTTAACTCCTGGCAACCACTCGTCTGTTTTCCATCTCTGTAATTTTCTCATTTAGAGAATGTTTATATATATATGGAATCGTAGAGCATGTGACCTTTTGGGATTGGCATTTTTTCCCCTTGGTATCATTTCTTTGAGGTTCATCCAAGTTGTTACATGTGTCAGTGGTTCATTTCTTTTTATTACAGAGTAGAATTCCATGGTATGGATGTACAGCTGTTTACCCACTAAAAGACATCTGGGTTATTTCCAGTTTGGGGATATTACAAATAAAGCTGCAATGAACAATTGTTTACAGGTTTTTATGTGAACGTAAATTTTCATTTCTTTAGGATAAATGTCCAGGAATGCAATTACCAGGTGGTATGTTAAGTGTATGTGTTGCTTTTTATTTTGTTTCATTAAGAAACTGCCAGACTATTTTCCAGTGTGATTGGTTGGACTAGTCACATCAGTCATACATGGGGGATACAGTTTTCCCACATCATACCAGCATTTGGTCTTGTCATCATTTAAAAATTTGAGCTATTCTAACAGTTATGTAGTGATATTTCATTGTGGTTTCAGTCTGTATTTCCCTAATGTCTAGTTTTGTTGAACATCTTTTCATGTGCTTATTTGCTGTGTATCATCTTTGGCAAAATAAATGTTT